GAAGATTTAGTTTCCTAGTTTAACCCCTAGTTAGTTGTATATAAACCTAAGGTTCTTGTATAATTCTTAATGAGCAGTTTTTCAACATACATTCAATTTTATTCTTAGTTTTTTACACAGTTTTATTTCTTAGTTTTTCCACAGATAAATAGCATTAAGGCTGATTCTTGATGACAAGCACTGTAGGGTGTACACTACTGAGACCTTTAATATAAAGGCAGGTTTTTTTAGTCTCATAATTTACAAATTAGTGAGAGTTTTGAATGCTAAAAATTAATATAAAGGCCAGTCCCTCGACAAATGACAACAAGCATTTTAGGAAGCATATAATTAAGACCTGTATAGCAAAAATTAGGTTGGCTGGAAAAGAATGCATGTTACTCCAGCTGCAGAGTTGCACTCCCAAGTAAAAAAATTGCATTAGTTGATATTTAACTGAAGGCTAGATTTCCTTTAGTCAAGATGCAAATCTACTTACTAAAAATACACATAATTCTACAGAGAGGAGGGAGAGATTCTTTGGGAACCCACCAAATTTGTAAATTCAAGAACCATTAAAGTAATAAAACAAAACAAAAAATGGTTCATTCTGTTGGCCAAATCACAAGATAGGTTTACAGTTTTTTTTTTTAATTTCCAAAATAGAAAATATATAAACAGTTTTCCTTTCTAATTTAAAGAAAAGATTAGAAACATACAATTGGAAAACAAAAAACAAAATAACAACTGAAAAGTTCACAAGGGATAATCACTTAACAAGTATAATGGTGAAATTGTAGTAAGCCACAAAACTACTAGCAAATTTAAAATTGAAAAGAAAATGAAATTTCACAACTTTCCATCAGTGAATCACTCAACAATACTGGCCAAAAAAAAAAAAATTCAGTCAACTACAAAACATTAACGAATTTATAGTGAACAAACTGCTGGTATGCCAGTCCGCCTCAGGCTTACTTCACAACATCTCACTCAAAATCAAAGATCAGAAAGCGAACTAAAGTAATGATAACAGATTATACTATTAACAATTACAATTCAGCAGAAAAAAAATTTTCCCTGTTTACCAGGAACTGTGCATAGTGAAATCCTAAGGTCTGGTTTTTCTTTTGCAGAATTTCTTTAACACTGAGCCAAGCGAGCTAATACTACAAACAAATTCACCAGAGCAACAGCCAAATGAACGCCAAGAAATAATATGTAAAAATGGGAAGCAGCAAGAATACCAGGATTTACATGATTCGGCTTTAAACCTACATCCACAAGCAGAGTTAACAAGATATTTTCACTATAGTCAAAGCAAGACGAGGTGTACAAACAAGTTTAGGTTCCAACTACACCCCACAACCTAAGAGCAGAAGCTTTTACAATTTTCTAAATTCCATTTTTTTCACTTTCTTGCACGAAGTAAAAATGAATACCAATTTGAGTTTGTCCACCTTTTTTATTTTATACTCACCATTTCTTGCAACCCAAAAAAATGCCATTCATGCAAGTAGAAATAAGGGCAAATAATTGAAAGGGAAAAAATGGAAACCAAGAGCAATTTAAGAAAAAGAGAAAATGGTGAGGTAGCACTTAAGCTAGCTTAATTTTCAAACCAACCACAACAAATCTCCACCTTAGCTTGAGATCACTGGTGGTTCAAAAAGTGATGACAACAAGGGCAGTTGTAGAAGAAGGGGAAGATTGGATGCAAAATTGAATTTTTAGAACTAATGTGATTGTAGATAGTGGGAGCATGAAGAACATTATTCAAAGAAGGCAGTGAAGATGTTGAATCTGTCTACAGAGAAGCACCCTTGTCCATACAAACTTGAAGGGGCCTAAGATAAGGAATGAGATGCCAATAACATCTCAGTGTTTGGCCAAATTTCCTTCGAGTAATAATCCAGATTGTGAAGCTTTGCATGATGTTTTACCCATGGATGCAGTTCATATTCTGTTGGGTATACCTTGGCTATTTGATCATGATGTGGAACATCTCACTAAGCCTAATTTTTTTCATTTTGTAGAGATATGAGAAAGTATATTTTGCACCCTCTAAAGGAGAAAATTAAAAGAAAAGCTGGTGGTTCTTCTTTGGGCAGCAAGGTAACTGGGTTTTATCAAGGGAGAAATTTGAAGTTCAGAGTAAAGAAAATGGAGCTGTTTATGCTTTACTTACCAAGTTTGAACAAGATGACTTGAAGGATCCTCTTGAAGGTCAGCAGTTGTTAAAAGAGTTTAAGGGGCTAGTTAATAAGGAACTGCCTTTTGTTTTACCACCATTGGAAAGTGACCAACATTCTATTGATTTGTTTCCCAGGGATTCATTACCAAATATGCCAGGTTATAGCAAGCCTTCATTGGAGCGAGCTGAGTAGCAAAAATAAGTCGAGAAGTTGCTTACCAAGAGTTTAGTACAGGAGAGAAAAAACAACTCACAAGGCCTCAGATGGGTTCTATGAATGGTTGCTTACGAGAAGAGATTGACATAGAAGCATTCTACAATTTATCTAATTGTTCATCTTGATATGTTTTCTTAGTCTTTTACTATAGTTATTAGTAGGTAATTATGTTTTTATTTTATTAAGTGGTCATATGACTAGCATGTAATCTCTTAATGAGTTTGAGTCGCTAGGATTAGATGGGGTTTATGTAAACCCACAGACTAGGATTAAAAGCTGTTGTAACACTAGTATAAATAGTACTTTTTTTCTTTGAAATTAACACAAATAGTGTTTTAGACACATTAGACAGCCATATCATATTGGAGTATTTCCTATCAAAGGTTCTATAGCCCTAAACCATAGTTATATTGTTCCTGCTTTGATTTTCCATCAATTTTAGCCTCTTGTTCTGGTTTTCTTTTACAGTTTTGGTTTTTCATTTTATTATTTATACTTATGCACCACATCACAAGTCCAAGCAAAGTCCAAGCAATGCTTGAACCCATAAGCAAGGATAGCTTTCATCAACATGTCCACGAGATCTCCTCAGTAGCAAGGAGCAATACCAATCAGAATATCATGCATAACATGGTCCCAAATGAAGTGATATTTTCAAGCCAAAGTGGAGATTTGTTGTGGATTTGTATGAAGGTTAAGCCAGCTCGAGTGTTGCCACCCACCATTTTCTCTTTTTCCTTTCATTGCCCTTAGTTTCCATTCTTGCCTTAGCCATCGTTTGCCCTTATTTCTAGATCCATTAATGGCAATTTTGGGTTGCAAGAAATGGTGAGTATAGAAGTCAAAAAAGGGTGTACAAAGTCAATTTGGTCTTCTTTTTTGTTTCTCACAATAAACGGAAAGCAGAGAGTTTAGGGAGTTTAGAGAATTATAAAAGCTATTGCTCTCAGGTTGTGGGTTGTCGTGCAATCAAGTGAGTTTTGTGTACCAAAACTGTTGTACTCTTCATCTTGCTTCCACTATAGTGGAAATTTCTAATTGCCTCAGCCCGTGGACATGGGCTTAAACCCAAACCACACTAATCCTAATGTTCTTGTTTCTTTTATTTTTGCATACTATTTCTTGCTACAAATTTGGTTTCTGTTTTGATAAATTTATTAGTTGTCATATTCACTTTTTTGGCTCGATGTTTCAACATTTTCAACAACATGCCTAGATGCTATTATCTTACAACAGAAAAGGGCCAGGCTGCAATAAACCAAGGCATATATATATATATACAGTCCATCTTAATTTTGGCATCATGAATGCAAGATGGAAAGTTCAACAATGAATGATTCTTCCATTCATTAATCAAGTGACAAAGTTAAATTCCAAATCTGGCAATCCATAACTCATTATGCCTCACCACAAGATGCAGTTAGATCAAAGATTCAAAGACGATTTGATTAAAATGCAGGCTTTTTTCTTACTCCAAATTGCTTTAAAATGTATACTGATTCCCTTATAAGATGCTTGTTTAGTCAAGATAGGCAAAACAAGAAGACAGACAGATTAACAAGAATTAAAATATAAACTTCAAGATGTTGTAAATTAAAAAGAAGGCCAAAAAAGAAACTTTTTTTAGTTCAGCCACTTAAATAATATTCTAAGCTCTACCCTCAAAGAAACATATCCCCAATATCTTAGAGGCAAACGTATGTGAAAGCTAAATATGAGAAACAGAAGAAAAACAAACCATCAAATGCCCCATCCTAGCAATCCATTTTTTTTCTAAAAATACAATTAGCTCTTGCTTTCTTTACCCAAAGCAAATCTAGCAATGCTAGAAACATAAGCATCTTCACCCACTACTTCCAAAAGTGTTCTTATGCTGAAAGTAAATATAAATGGATAAATATATCCTCATCTGACACATACCCTTCAATCAAGCCTCAAAATTTGTATTATTAACCAATTTCTCTTTGCCTGAAACCACTATTGAACCAAGGAAACACTACAAAACCTAATTACTTACATATTTATATATAATAGGGAAAAAATAATACATAAAGATTTACCTATTTATTTTGGAAGGTAGGATGCAGGGTAAGGATGGTGTTATAACAGACTACTGGGTAAAACCAGATTCAAAATGAGATCCAAGTATAATGTTAGTGTATTTTTTTTCTTAATTCTATAAGATCCATAATCCAACTTTATAAGAATAATTGCCATCATCAAATTGAGGCTAGTCACAAACAAATTGAGCTAGATCTCCTAATTATAAGAAGTGTAATAAATGTTATTAGCTGTTAGTTAGTGGAAATATAGTGTCTTGAAAGAGTGAGAAGCAGATTGCCATTGCAAGATCAAGGGTTGAAGCAGACTTAGAGCTATAGCTCATATCACTTGTAAATTATTTTAGCTAAAAGGATTGGCTACAGGAGCTCAATTTCGAATTTTCACAGCCCATAGATATTATGTTAGAGCTTCAGGCTCAATATCCAAAGAAATTGAATTATAATTGGACTTTTCATCACAAAACAAATCAAAAATTAAGACATATACATAAGTTGAATTATAAAGAAAGTAAAAAACTCTACACCCATGTAAGCATAATGAAAATATTACCTTGGCAACATGTTCCAAAGTAATAGCCTCTGGGATTATAGCCGTGCTCAACTTGATCTGAACAAACCCATTGCTTCCTTTCAATGGAAAGCACTGTCCTGGTTCTCCAAAACTTGGCTTCAACATCTTGTCTGCATCACGATGAACCCTATTTTGACTACTTTTCAAAAACCAGTTGCTTCCCTTTCCAGCAAGAAAGGGCTCGGAATGCCTAACAACCTTTCCCCCACCAGAAAACAGTGCATAATCAGCCCTCCCAAGCCCATCCGAGGCATGCTTCTCAATCTCATTCTTAACAATCTCTCTCGCATAGGCTCCTAGATCACTCAAACTCACTGCATTTTCAGTTTTATCATTTTCACCCATTTCTTTTATCATTTGTTCATACATCTTCTCAAACTCTTCCTTTGTCAACAAATCCACGCTCTTCAATTCACTCAAGGACTTATCCAATCCCTCACTCTTTTCTTCCAATTTTTTCAATGAATTCTTCAATACTCCAGTTTGATCCTCAATTCTCTCATTCAATTCCCTCCTTAACCCACCAATTTCATTGTCGATTTTCCTATCAACAACATCTACCTGAACCTGAATCATTTTAGCCGTTGTCTTCAAAAAACTCTCAACCTCAGCAACCCTACCCTCAAATTCCGTTAATCCAGTCTGTGTACCAACCCCACTAACCTCCCCTGATTTCAAAGCCAATTTCCTAATAATCTGAACTAAACCAGCCAAAACAAGCAAAAGCACTAAATTCTTAATGAAAATACTAACCACAGTCAATAACCGGGGTTTCTCCGTCTTGTTGACCACTCCTTTCCGCGTTCGCCGCTGCGGGACGTTCGAGTTTTGACCCACAGTGGCTTTTCTCGCTTGCATCAAGTCCTTCGACGCTTCGGCCCGGACGGAGTGGTGGCTCAGATCTCTGCTGTGACCGGCAGTAACAGCAGTACCGGTGGCTTTATCTTCTCCAACGTTAACTCCATTAGGGTTCTGTTCGGCTACCAATGCTTCGACGTTCGTTTTCTTTTCGCCGATAAGGACCGGCCGGCGACGTGACGCCATCGCGGGGTTGGCTGTGATCGAGACGGCAGATGCCGACATTGTTTTTTCGAATCAAAGAATCGATGGAAAATAACAATAAATGAATTATAAAATGCTAATAACTTAGATTGATCGGGAAATTTGAACGCTGTGGCTTTTCAAGTGATTTTGAAATTGTGGCGTTTGGGTTTGGGCCCACTGTCAAAAGTTGTTACTGGTACCAAATCTGAGTGTTTTTTTTTTTTTCATTTATGTTTTCATGAAAAATTACAAATTTCTTTCGAATAAATTTATCAGTATTTTTTCAAAAAATATATATATAAATGTTTTTTAATATGTTCTTTTAAAATGTTTTTATTTATGACACTCACTCAAAAATAAAATATAATATAAAATATAAAAAAGATGACACGAAAATAATGTAATTTAAAATTTAATAAAAAATCATACATGAATTTATTAAAAATTAAAAATATATTTTATATTTTTCATATTAATATGTATTATAACACATAATTATCATATAAAATATAATATAAATATATAAATTATTAATATTTTATATGATATAAATTATTAAATTATTAAATTTAAATAAATAAATAAAATATATATTTTTTTAATTCTGTATAGTTCGAAAAGAAAGATAATGAATGATTTGAATTGTCCACTAAAATTAGGTGCACTCGTGCATTAACTTAGAAACTCGTCAGTGGAGCATAAAGTTTTCATTTATAAACTTGTCTACGAAATTCAAGAATTCTTTGTCACTAAATTAAAAAAAAAAAAATCATCCATAGTGTATTATGAGATAGAAGTATTTTAAATAAATATTTCTTAATGCATTTGACATAATCTTTTATTATAATTTTATAATTATTTAATTATACAAAAAATTATGTAAAGATTCACAAAAGAATAGCACTTATAATTATTGTAATGTAATTAATTAATTATAATTTAATATTATATAAGGTACATAAAAAAATTATATAGAACCTACATTTTTTAAGTGGTTGGTTTCTTATTGAATTTTTTTTTGTGATCAGGAATGATAATGATTAGGATTGGATTGGATTCAGTTTAATTTTTCAGATAATAAATAGTATTATGAATTTTAAATTCAGATTCGAATCTAAACTGAATTAAATTTTCTTGATTTGGTTTAGTTCATTAGTTTTAGAAATTTATTTTTTGTTTTTATATATTATTTTAATATAAATTTTAATATATTCAAATAAATTTAGATATAAAATAATTATTTTTATTTTATAAAATTTAAAAAATATATAAGCTAATAAAATATATTTATTTCTATTTGGTTCTTTTTTTGATTTCTTACTTCTCGATCTAAAATTCGATTCAAATTTAATATATACTTTTAATATATGAAGTTAATCTAAATTGAATAAGAAAAAATCGATTCAAATCAAATCGAACGCTATGATTTCGAATTAGTTTTTGTTTTCCTCAAATTTTTTTTTAACCTTTAATTATGATTAGCTAATTGCAAGATTGTAATAAAGTGAACAACCGATGATATAAATGGCCATCAAACTAGAGTGAAATATTTAATATAGTATTTAAATTTTAAAAATCTATAATATGATACTTAAATTATAAATTTATTAATTAATGTGGTACTCATTCTTAATATGGTTAAATTCAAACGATGACACGTTACTCATAAACAACCCTCAAAGTACCACATTAGTTAACAAATTTATAATTGAAGTTTACAAACCATTTGTAACATTAAACATTTTATAATTTAGGTGTCATATTTAACATTTTACTATAATTTACGGACAATTCATAACATTAACCCTAAAGAGAATTATATATGAAATGCACTCAGCCATTTACCACCTCTAAATGTGGGCTCAGGATTCTAAATTATGATTGATTAAGGGTTAGTTTAACCAAAAGCTTTTTGTTGTTTAACATTGCGTTTGGACCAAAAGTAGCCTTTAAATGCAAAAACTACTTTTTATTATAGATTTTCAAAAAAAATATAAGAAGTAATCCCATATTAGATAAGGAAAAGATAAGATAGTCATTTAAACTAAAAGGAGTAAAAGTCTAATGAAGTTAGACTTAAATGACTAAAGTGTAAAGATAAACTATGGGCTTGGATTGTGAAGCTTGGTCGGTCTTGCATTAATTAAATAATTAATATTAATATTTAATTAAGGCACTTGACACTTAAACATGTGGCACATAATATAAATAAAATATAATTTTATTTAAAGTTTAATTTTTAATTAAACAAAAGTTAATTAAGTGTTTGATTAATTAAGTCTATTTAAAATAGACAAATAAAAATAAACAGTTAAGTCTATACAAAATAGACAGATAAGTCTATTCAAATAGACAGTTTTAATTATTTAAAAATAAATAATTTTTATCTATTCAAAATAGACGGTTATGTTTGTAGAATGAAAAGACATTTAATTAATTATATAAGCTATTCTAATTTTATGAAAAAACAAAAACAATTTGCAGAACCCTCCATCATTTTCAAATAATTTCTAGATTTCTTTTATAAAGTTTTGCTATAAAAATTCTTTATAGAAGTTCGGTGATCTTGTAATACACTGGTGAATGTTTGGTGGACTGATTTTGTCAGTGTAAAATGTAGTCAGTCATTGGGGTTCATTATATCCTCGAGGTTTATTGCCTGCAACCCTTTTACACTCCTACTAGTAAATAATACGATGGAGGTGAATAAAACCTTAAAGAAAGTGACACCGTTATATGCCTTAGAGTTTTTCTTCAAAATTTTAGATTTACCAAAAGCATAATTCTAGATTTTTAGATTTTGGTTCTAATAATTTTAAGATTTCATCCAATTCAACAATGGTTATTGAAGCAACACTTAAAGAATTGGCTTTTAGTTTTGTCAAATTGGATTGACTCAATGGTGGCAATATTCAAATATGGCAAAAGAAAATGCATTTTTTACTTTCAACCTTGAATGTTTTATATGTTCTAGCTACTCCCAGGCAAAAAAAAAAAATGATACAGAATCTATTGTTACAAAAAGAGAGGTAAAAATAGGATAATGTAGACTACATGTGTAAAGGTCATTTTCTAAATGGTTGTCTGATAGCATATTTGATACATATTAAAACAAAACTATTGTAAAGGAGTTATGGGACAAATTGGAGACCATATATATGATCGAGGATGCAACAAATAAGAAATTTCTCATTAGTTATTTTAATAATGAATATATGGTTGATAGGCGTTCTATAATTGAAAAATTACATGAAATTGAAATAATGCTTAAACAATTTAAACAGTATAATATGAGCATGAATGAAACAATTATTATATCTTCTATAATAGACAAACTTCCTCCATCATATAAGAACTTTAAAAGAAGTATTAAACATTAAAAAAAATGAAATCACTTTTGAGGCTTTAGCTAATCATCTTTGAATTGAAAAAGAATACAAAAAGTAAGAACAGAATTCTAGTTCTGGTGATGTCAAAGTTGATGTTATGTAAGAAAGACATATCATTAAGCTTATAAAAAAGAAGTTCAAGTTTAAACAAATTACTAATGGGTCTAAATTCAAAAAGATCCGAAAATGATAGAAAAAGGCTCATTTGACCATTGTGTTAAGTTGGGACGTTTCAAGAAATAAGGTTAGTTGCTATAGAAGAAATATGATTCTTAAAATAATGATGCTTATAAAAATTTTGTGGCGTTGATTTCTGAAACCAACATGCTTGAAAATGATGAATCTTGATGGATTGATTTGAGAGCAACAATACATGTATACAAGGACACAAACATACTCACAACGTTTAAACCAAATGAATATGTTAATATCCTTTACATGACAAATTCTTCTACAGCAACAATCAAAGGTAAAGGAACTGTTGAACTTGAATTTATTTTTGAAAAAATTCTAACTATGAATTATGTTTATTTTATACTAAAGTTAAGGAAAATTTAGTGTTTGAAAGTCCATTGAATAAGTTTGGTTTCAAACTTGTATTTAAAGCAAATAAATTTATTCTGTCTAAAGAAAAAAAATTTGTTGGAAAAAGGTATATATATGAGGAAAATATTCAAACTCAATATTATTAATACAAATATAACTATTGTTTCTAATTCAATGGTTAAATCTTCATATTTATGGCATTATAGATTAAGCCATTTAAATTATAGAAATTTGCATGATATGAGTAAACTTTTGTTAATTCCTAAATTTAGTTAAGCATTAATAAATGCAGTGCATGCATGTTGACAAATATTACCATAAATTTTTTTTTTAAGGTTAAAAGAAATACAAAGTTACTTAAATTACTTAACAATAATGTTTGTGCTATGCATAGCACTACTACATTATCTGGAAAGAAATATTTTATGACATTCATAGAAGATTATTCTAGATATTATTATGTTTATTTGTTACATCCTAAAAATGAAATGCTTGATATGTTTAAAATTTATAAATATGAAATTTAACTATAATGTAAATCCTTTATTAAATGCTTGAGGTTGGGTAGGAGTAAAGAATAATATAGTACAAGTTATTTTGAATCATTGGTATAATCCACCAAGTTACAACTTCTTACATACCACAACAAAATCGTGTACCTGAAAGAAAGAACAAGGTCTTAACAGAAATAGTAAATACAATATTATTATATTCTGGTATTAGACAAGAGTTTAGGGGTGAAGCTTTATTAACAACTTGTCATATACTAAGTAAAATTTTTAACAAAGAAACAAAAATAACCACATCTAAGCAATAAAATAAAATAAATAAATTGTTATTATTGAAAAATTTAGGGATGTAGAGTTCTAGTTAAAATTTTAGAACCCAAACGAAAAAGGTTGGGCGAATGAGGAATATAATACTTATTTATAAGATATGTACAAAATAGTAAGCATATAGGCTCATCGTAATCGAATCAAAATTTCAAATCCATTGGAACAAATTGAAATTAGTGACGAACACTATCAAAAAATAAGGACAAGCAAAAGACCTAAAAAGGCAAAAGATTTTGGACTAAATTTCTTTATGTTCGTTGTGGAAAGGATTGGTGAAAAAGCATAAATAATTAAATTTCTTATTGTTTTAATGCAGAGTCTGGTCGTATTTCATATGAAGAGATAATAAAGTCTCAATATTCTACTTTTTGGAAATAAGCAATAAATGACAAAATG